GCCTCTCCGGCTGGCCACGCCCCCTCGCGCGCCGTCCCATTTCCCGGGCGCTCCCGGATGACGTCACGAGAGACGTCATCGTGGTGCGTCTGCCCGGGCCGCCGATCTCCGGCCGCAGTTGCCATAACCGCGAGCGGCACGGCCCCAGCGTTCTCCACAGCCGACCTGCTTCCCCCTGTCATCCCACCTGTCTGCCCCGTCGCCCATCCCGCATTTATCTCAGTGCGGGGCAGCACGGCTGGGCCGTCTGCCCCGTCACAGGGGGATATTGTGAAAGCCAAAAATATAACTGGGCTCAACAAAGAACTTTAAGTTCCTGCGGAGTGCCTAGGGCATAGCTCCCTGAAAGGGTATTAAACAAGATGGTTAGAAACACAGCCCCGTGCTCCAAGTGTTCCTAAAACTCCAAATGCCAGAACCACCTGGCACTGGCTCTGTGTCAAGACAGGCTACTGGGCTATATGGCCTTTTGGTCTGACCCAGCATGGCTGCTCTTACGTTCATATCAGCTGTGATGTCAGACGAGGCCTCTCCCAACACACACGTCTCCACATGCAGTAAAAGCAGCCATGCTTTTGGCTGGGTGTGTTTGCATGTAGTTTGGTCCTGACTGAAAATCTGCCCTCACTGACCCAAACCTGCTCTCCTGCACCAGGGCTGAGCAGTCTCTCCACTGTGAGCAGAAAGAGAGAGGTAACAAGTAGCTTCATTTTTACTATTTGTATTTGACCTTTCGATATTGTTTGCTTTTTCCAGCATAATCTCTTAAGAACATGACTGATGATTTATAGAAAAAGAATATCTGTGCTGTGGGCGCTGTGCAAGCCCTCTCTCCTACTGCTTTGGCGTGATTTACTTTTGGATTAGCCTCTGATAGAGAAGGGCTCGGCTGATGATTCTTCCTCATATATCAAAAGGGAAATCCTTAAGACATCACTATAAAACAGCAGGAAAGAGCACCTGCCTGACTCATAAACTTATATGATGTGGTTTAGTCAGATAGGCCATCTGCTTCCCTTCTATACCCATATGTCCTTTGCTGTCCCCTACTCCCTCACAGTTACCTCTCATGATTTTCTTCTTTACTTCTAGGAAGCTAACATAAAAGAGAATGAAATGAATGATAAAGTTTCATGCAGATAGGAACAAGTGAAGTGTCAACTGCCTGTGCCTCCTACTTAATACAGTAAACAGCCCAGATGAAATCCAGGGTACGCACAGCTCTGAATTAGTGAATGGGCCAAATCCCACTTTCACTTACAGCTGTGCAATCCAGCTGACTCAGGGGGACAGGACAGAAAAATGTCTCCCCTTCTGGGTTATTCATGTCAATTCCTGGACCTTCAGAGGAGTGGGGCAGGCTCTTGAGCACAATGGTCCTAATCCGGCAGCACACATTGCTCTCATGCATTTGGGTCCTGGTTTTAGAGGCTGGAAGAGAAGCTTAGGCATTTCTTATTGCTAGTTAACACTCCACGTTTGTGCTTGCAGGTATGAGTGCACACGCCAATACCATCTCTGCATGTATAATGACAGTAAGGGCACATGAAACTGTCGATGCAAAGCAGCCCAAATAAATGGGTCTCTTACTTTAAGGATAAAAAGTGAACAGAGTGGAAGGAAGGGCCTTCCTGACATTCTGCTTTAACGTCCCTGTCATAGGTCTGTACACTGGTACTGCAAGCCCATGTGCCCTTGAGCAAATCACTGGCACCCACTAAATTACGCAAGGAAATCACATGAGAAAGTGTCATGAACCCTGGACAGCACAGGTCTTGGGCCACTGCCCGGGCATAAGGGCAGAGCCTGTCTCATTCCACTTTGCCGCATCCCCAGCTCCCTGCACCTTTCGGGTGTGCCTGAAACTCTTGGATGACTGGTAAAAAGTGGTCCAAATGAGGGAGATGGTGAGTGCAAGTGCTTGGGCCTGGAAGAGATGAAGACTGTCCCTGAAGGAGCAGGAACAGCCATTTACATTTCAAAGGTAGAAATGCTGCAGGGAGCATGGGGCCAGTGGGGGACTCAAGCAGTCCTCTGCTGGTCCCATGCTCCCTGCTTTTGAAATGTGCAAGAGCCCTGGAGGTGAATGCTTGGCTGCAGAGATGGTATCGCCAGGAGGGCGTTGGCTTCTTTGACCACGGGATGCTATTCCAGGAAGGACTGCTAGGCAGAGACAGCGTTCACCTTTTGAGGAGGAGGAAGACCCTATTTGGACACAGACTGGCTAACCTAGTGAGGGGGGCTTTAAACTAGGTTCGACGGGGACAGGTGAGCAAAGCCCACAGGTAAATGGAGAACATGGAGACCTAGAAGATGGGTCAGAAATGGGAGGGAGCGTGGGCTATCATGGCAGAGAGAGAGGAGGGTTAGGGCAAAACTGGGAGGCAAGATCAAATGAGTATCTTAGATGCCTATATACAAATGGGTAATAATCAGGAAGAACTGGAAGTGCTAATAAATAAATACAACTTGACATGCTCCTGGCGCAAGAGCCTTTTCCGCAAAATGGAGGCTCATTAGGTATGCAAATGAGGTTAAGCAATATTCCACACTTAGCCTCATTTGCATATTTCTGGCGCAACAACCCGCAAGTGTAGACATAGCCTTGAAATGCTTCTGCTTTTGTCTTGCTACATTTCAACGGTGGAAGCGCCACCAGTTCCCCACTGCACCCCCACCCTCTGCCCCCATGGAGACAAGGCTGGGAGGAACTGCTTTTAAGCTGGCTCCCTCCGCCCCTTGCTGCCTCTCTCTGATAGAGGCGGCTGGGGGAGGGAGGGAGGTGATTAGTCGACTAGTCATATACATCCCAAGCAGGATGATCTCATCACACTTTGTCAGTACAGCTGTGGGACTGGGGTGTGCTTGCCCCTCCAGAGAAAGAGAAAACAGTCTGGCACAGGGATCCACTTCACAGGGATACCTGGGGATTCAGAAAGGAGAGTTTGCTGTGGGAAGTGGCAGAGCAGCATTTAAGTAGCGGATATGGAGGTGGTTACAGCAGCAGCAGGGAAACTGCCTGGCCTTCCAAACAACGCATCTGCAGCTCTTGTTTCAAGAGCAGTAGCAAGCAGAGAAACTGTCTGACTCCAGCCCATGGAAAAGGTGGAGAACAGGGGACTCCCACTGTTTACAATGTCACCTGCCTAGTGACCTCTTTGGGACCCAGAAGGCTTACTCCTCAATCAGCCACATGGGTCACCCTATCCCTGTTCAGTGCCAGCCACTAGCTCTTGGGGTTGAGCTGCATTCCCAGGGATTACATGTTGCACTGGCCCTACTCTCAGATGCTGGAGCCAATTGCATGTTGAATCTATTGGACCCGGAGCCCCAGATGCTGGTCCCAATCACATGTTCTGTTGTCAGCCTCCCTTGAGTCTAGGGTTTATTGATGTAGCTGCTGCCTGGCCCACTGCTCAAATCAGCTGGTCTCTAACACACCAAGGAGGGCCGTGTATGGCACATCTGCCAGAGGCACCACCAGGAAAGGGGCCTGTGACAAACAAGTACCCAAGGACACACTCTACCCAGGCAGCCCCAAAGGAGACCCAGACTTGCTCCCTATCCTCTCAACAGGTAGGGGTTGGGGAGTGACAGGACAGGCGCTTTGACCATCTCTGGGATCCCACCGCCCTGTGCTCTGAGTACAGCGGGATGCTGCAGCAATAAGTCAGTATTCAGTGTGACTTTGCTCGGTGTATTTACTGAAATGGATGCAGCTGTG